CATTCGCAATGAAAGGGAAGTGATAGACAGCAATTCAGGTCACGAGCATAGATGTGTTGACATTGCTGGGGTCATCGTGGACATACTAGTCAGGAGGAAAGTGGGACCTGACATTAGGAGGGTCATTGGCGAGATGAAAGTGGATTGACGCTAGTTTTTTCACGTTCGATTCCTCACGCTCTTCATTTGAGATGTCCCATGTCAAGATCTGGAGATCAAATCCAGAAGCCTCTGGAGACCCATAGAGTTTTCCTCCATGCGTATTTTCTTATTCCCAGTCCATGAAGTCCCTCTCAGTGGTGTGGGTCCCGTCCTCATACACTTCTGCTTCCGTGTAGGTAGTTGGGAGGGGGGGAAAGGAGGAGGGGGTTGTTGATAGAGAGCAGAGGAAGGGAGGGAGAAGAGGTAGGGGAGGCGGAAGGTACTGACACATTCCTCGCATCCTCTCAGAAATTTCTTGAGAGCCTGAAGCTGGACATCTCGTTCTGTCTCGGGTGAGAGGAGGAGCATGTGGATGAGCTCGGGTGACAGTCGAGGCAGTATTGACTCCTCCCTCCTCGTTATGGGCGACATTCTCAACGGCCCTGGGAACTTTGTTGAAGGTAAACCAGTCTCTGTCTCCTCTCCCTTCCTCCCCTCCTCCTTCCCCTCCTCCTCCCCCTCCTCCCCCCCCTCGCTGCTGCTCCTCCTCGTCGTTTTGCTCCTCTTCCTCCTTCTCCCCTTCTGTGCGCTCTGTCTCCCTTCCTCCTCTTCTTGCTGCATCCCCTCCTTCTCCTCTGCTTCCGCCGCCTCTCTCATTCTTCTTGCTGTCGCTCACCCCGACCATGGTCTCTAGTCTGCATCCACTCGTCCTCCTCCTCATTCCCTGTCGTCTCCTCCATGGACAAGGCCCGGCAGCTCCTCTCTCTGGCAACAGAGCCCAGCAGGTAGCGCGAGCGTGTTGGTTCAGAGGAGGAGGATCGGTTATGGAGGAGGAGGAGGAGGAGGTGAAGCAGCAGCAGCAGAAGGCAAGGGCAAGGGACACAGGAGACTAGACAGTTTGGTCGAGTAGCAGAGGAGAGGGTGCAAGGAGGGAGAAGCAGGAGCAGGAAGGGAGCGGGAGCAGGAGGACACTCAGTTGATGAGCAGCAATCTAAAGAAGACGTTTTCTGGTGAGACGATTCTCGGGGCCCAATGGAAGCTCCCTCGTGGACAGGTAAGAGAGGAGGAGGAGGAGGAACAGAGAAGGGGAGGGGGAGGGGGAGGAGGAGGAGGAGCTTATCTCGTAGTAGGACTCTGCAATGCAGCACAGTAACGGAGGAGGAGGAGGAGGAGGAGGAGGAGGAGGAGCTGAATTCTTCTCCAACCCGACGACGCCTCGATCGGGTTCGCCTCTTGCCTTCTCTACACCATCAGACGATTTCTGACCCTCCTCGTGCAGGCTATCGGGGAGCCGCTAGCAAGGAGGAGCCAAGTATGCATGCTCCTACTCCCTCCTCCCTCCCTCTCCTTCCGTCCTCCGTTCCTCTCTCCCCTCCCATCCTCCCCCTTCCCTCCCTCTTCCCACTCCCGTCCTCCATCCCTTTTTCTCCTCTCCTTCCTCCTCCCACTCTCTCCTCCCCCTCTCCTCCCTCCTCCTCTCATTTCATCGCAGTGAATCAGCTCTCCTTGCCGGGCGTCAAGTCGCTCACATCTAGTCAGAGATCTGCCACCTCCATCAAGTCTCCTGGCACCCCTCGAGGTTCTCAAATTCCTCCTTCTCCTCCTCCTCCTCCTCCTCCTCCTCCTCCTCCTCCAGCGTCCCTTTCCTACTCCCTCTTTCCCCTTCCTCCTTCCTCTCCTCCCCTTCCTCCTTCTCACCCTCCTCCTTCTCCCACCCTCTTCTCCTCTCCCTCCACCACAACCACCACCTCCCCCCCCCTTCCCCCTTTCCTCCTACTTCACTGCACTGCTCATGAGCTTGTTCAGGAGGCTTCAACGTGGGCTCGGAGGTCTTGCCCGATGGCAGGATGTACACTGGTTCTCGTGTGCGGGTATCACAGCTTCCTCCTCCTCCTCCTCCTCCTTCCCACCTGCTCTCCTTCCCGACTTTTCTTGAGGCCCTCTCCTTCTGAACCCTTGCTCTCATATTTCCTGTCCTTCCTTCCTCCTTTTTTTCCCCTCCCCTCCTCTCCTCTCCTCTCCTCTCCTTTCTCTCACTCCATCCTCTCATGTCTCTTGTGCGCTTGTAACTAATTGTATCCTTTCAGTACAACGGGGACCTGATTGGTGTTGGAACTCTCACCCAACCATCCGGAGAGAAGTAACACCTTTCCAGACTCACTCCCTTCTCCCTCCATCTACCCTTCTCCACCTCCTCCCATCTCCACCTCGTCCTCCCTCTCTCCCTTCTACTCATCTCCTCCTCCTCCTCCTCTCCCTCTCTCATGGATTTTTGGTCCAGGTACGAGGGAGAGTGGCTGCAGTACGAGCCTCACGGGTGAACCTGGTCTGCCTCCTCCTCCCCTCACGCTCTTGCAGCCATGGAGTTCTTACAACGTCCGACGGCAGAAGACATGAGGGACAATTTCAGCATGGCAAGTGAACCCAAAGGCCCTCAGTAGCTCCTTCCTCCGCCTCCTCCTTCTCCTCCCTCCTCTCCTCAAACCCATCCTCCTCCGCCTCCTCTCCTGCTTCCTCCTCCTACCGAGTCTGAGCCCGCAGCAGGCAGCAAGCACGGGTACGGTGTGGCCGAGGAAGGCGGCATGCAGCTCATCGGCAGCTGGACTCACGGGTCCAAGAGCGGCTGGTTTGCAGTAGCAGGAGCTGGAGGGCAGGCTAGTTTGCGGGAGTTCCGAGCCGACAGGTTCACTGGCAACCAGCTGGACGGGAACGACGAGGGCGTCCAGCACCTTCGTGTCAAGGTACTCGGCATCCTTTCAACCCCAGCTGATCTCGTTTGACAGGCGCAGGCTGCAATCGACAAGGCGCGGACGGTGGCGAACCTGGCAAGGACCAAGTACAGTCTTGACTCGTGGGCATGCTAGGAGAGGAGGAGAGCGAGGAGGAGAAGAGAACGCGTGTGATTGGTCGTAATTTTGAAGATGAAATGAAGTTTTGAACATGATTCAGAACAACATTCCGAATTGCTCCTCCTCCTCCTCCTCCTCCTCTCCTCTCTCCTCCTCCTCCCTACCCACAATCAGTCGCCCTCCTGGAGATAGTACTCGCATGAAAGGGATAAAGCACGCGCTCCTCTACTTAGTCTCCATCACCTCGTGCTTCTTTCTTTCCAAATCTCTCCTCTCGCAATCCTCTCCCAAACCAGGAGAGAAGAGGAGAGCAGAGGAGAAGAGGAAGTGGAGGGGGGGAGGGGAGGGGAGGGGAGGGGAGGGGAGAAGACAGAGCAGGGCAGGGCGGGACAGGAAAGAAGAGGAGAGGAATGGAGAGGGGAGGGGAGGGGAGGAGAGGAGAGGAGAGGGGAGGAGAGGAGAGGAGGAGGAGAGGGGAGGAGAGGAAAGGGGTTTAGGGGAAGGGAGGAGAGGAGAGGGGACTGAGAGGGGAAGGGAGTAGGGCAGGATAGAGCAGAGCAGGGGAGGGGAGCTGCCCTTCTGGCCTGTCCCCTCCCCTCCCCTCCCCTCTGCCCCGCTCTCCACTCTTCCGCTTTTTCAGTCCCTTTTCCGCCCCTTCCATCCTCCCCGACAGAGCAAATTTTGAGGCGGCGCAGAGGAGGGGGAGGGAGGAGGAGCAAAATGAAGGCGGCGACGACGATGCTCTTCATAACCTTGGTTCTATGTGTCTCCTCGTCCTCGTCCTCGTCCTCGCCCTCGTCCTCGTCCTCGTCCTCGCCCTCGTCCTCGTCCTCGTCCTCGTCCTCCTCCTCGTCCTCCTGCCCCTCCTCCTGCAAGCAGTCCGACGAAGAGGCGTTCATCCGTCCCGTCTTTCCAGCTCATGGCGGGACGATACTCGCGCACCTGCCCTGCTCTCTCCGCATCCTCGTTCATGCTGGTCGTCAGGTGGGAGGCCGCCATGTCCTCGTGTTCGTCGACGACGAGGAGCGAGCGAGCGCAGCTCTGCGCTCTGAGGGAGGGTGCGAGGAGGAAGCAACTATCACCCTTCCGCCGCTGAAGATCGGGAGGAGGAGGATCCGACTTGTACTTCAGCATGATTGGGACGAAGCTGGAACAGTCCTGGGGTCAGACACGTTCGACCTGGTTGTGGTTGAGGAGGAGGAGGACGAAGCATCAGGTGCGGAGCTCGTCAGGTGGAGGAGAGCAAGGCAGTTCGTCCCGAAGCACGAGCTGGAAGCGAAAGCATGGAGGGCGGCAGGATATTACAGGAACCCCTTGACCTCTTCGTCCTCCTCCTCCTCCTCCTCCTCCTCCACCACCACCACCACCTCCTCCTCCTCCTCTCCCGACTACGAGAGCACTCTGATCCTGGTCGTCTGCAACACGGGCTACAGGGAGCTGCTTCGCAACTGGATGTGCAACGCTCAGCGGCTGGGCCTCAAGTTCCTCGTTGGGCTGGCGGACCCAGAAATCGCGCGGTGGATGGAGAGGGAGCATGGGGAGGTAGAGACGTATCCTCTCTTCGAGCATGCAGAGGTCTCTGCCGAGGGAGAGTTCATGAGCTCCAACTTCTTCAGGATCGTGTGGAGGGCGATGGAGCTGGTGCGGGAGCTGTTGGACAGCGGCATCAGCGTCTTCTTCATCGACGTGGACGTTCACCTGCTGCAAGATCCTCACTTGTACCTCAGCAGCAACTGCGACCTTGTCTATCAGCAGAACCACTGCGGTGCCGACGCTCCTGCCCGCACTGCCATGGAGGTGACTGAGCCCAACTCCGGCCTGTACCTGGTCAAGTCGCGGTGGGCCAGCAAGCAGTTCCTGTCGGAGATCCTGCTCAACAAGCCGGCGGACAGGAAGAGCGGGGAGAAATACTCTCATGCTGAGAGAGTTCAGGTTCGATTCCTATCCTCCTTATGCCCTCTCTCTACTTCTGTCCTTCTCCTCCTCCTCCTCGTCCATCTCCTCCTCCTCCTCCTCCTCCTCCTCCTTCTCCTCCTCCTCCTCGGTCCTCCTCCTCCTCCTCCTCCTCCTTCTCCTCCTCCTCCTCGTCCTCGTCCTCGTCCTCGTCCTCGTCCTCCTCCTCGGTCCTCCTCGTCCTCGTCCTCGTCCTCGTCCTTCTCCTCATTCTTTTCCTCTTCCTCTTCCTCTTCCTTCTCTTCCTCCTCTGCTGCTGCTGCCACGACCTCATACCAGCTCGCAGATCCAGTACTGGGAGCATCTCAAGCGTTGGTACGGGTTTCAACGAGCTGTCCTATCGCAGCTCCCCGAGGAGAACGACAAGGAGAGGAAGAAACATGTCGCCAAGTTTTGTGCTGCTGATTCACACAAGTTCGCGACCGGATGGGCCCTGGAGCGGTGAAACCACTACGATCCTTTTCCCTCTCCCTTCCTGCTCCTTTGATACCTCGACTACCAGCGGCGGCTGCTGTTTCAATGTTTCTGCCTGCCCCATCTCCTCCCTTTCCTCTCCTTCCGTCGTGCCTCTCCTTCCTTCCATCGCCTTCTATCCCTTCCCCACCTCCTTCCCACCTCCTCTCCCTCCTACCTTTCCTTCGTCCTGCTATCTCTTACTTTCTTTCTTCCTTCCATAACTCAAAGTCCTCAGTGATAACTTCTCGATTATCAAATCCGAAGTCATCGCCCTTCATATCAACTGCATCACTGGAAGGCAGAACAAGGTCTTCGCATCCGTTTTCAAACTTTTCCCGTCCTGACAGGCGCTGAGAGCAGATCGACAAGCTGAGAAATCTGAGTTTGTGGTGCCCCTGAGATTACTGGTCAGCTGGGCCCCTCCGGACTCCCTAGTACAGCAGCTGGAGGTGCACTGAAGGAAACTCCCACACTCCTGCTCCTCCTCCTCCTCCCTCCTCTCTGTCTTCTTGTCCGTCGCCCGGTGACGGTGCCACCGTCACCGGGGCCGCGTCCTTGCCTCCGACCAAGTCGGACGGTCCGATCCTGACTGAGAGCCTGTGTGACGGGAGTCGCCCGGGCCGGGCCCCGGCCTCAGCAAGTACTGATCATGATCGGAATCGGACTGATCACTGAGTCAGCCGGCGGCTGATCCCGGAGTCGGTCTCCGGCGGCGCCGGGCGACCGTACTGAGAGTCCGGGCCGCCAGGCACCGCCGACGGTGCCACCGTGCCACGGCGGGGCCCGTCGGACTCCGGCGCCCGGCCCCGGCCGCCGCGCCCGATTCAAACCGTAGGCTATCCGGAGTTCAACCATTGTCGAAGTTTCTAGTACATAATGAGTCAGCACGCCGCGTGGTTCCCGGAGTCCGAGTCAGTAGCGGATCCTGATCTTTCACTTAACTTTGAGTAAAAGCGGCGGATCACGGGGACCGTACGGTAGTCTTACTATTGGACAGTCTCCGGGCCGGCCTGAATCCGACGAGGGCCTAAGCGGCAAAGCCGGCTCATGATGCCAACGCGGCTTCCGGCCCGCCCGGCCCCGCGGGCCGGGCGGCGGGCGGCGCACTCAGGCTGACGCAGTGAGACTCGGCTTCCCGGACAGGCTCCGCGATGATTGAGGTCACCAAGACAATGCGGGGCCAGTGCGTCGGCCCTGCCTACTGCTGTTCCGACGGTTCGCTGCCAGGTTTCATTTCCACGCCCGGCCGCCGGGCCGCGCGCCCGGCCGGGCCCCGGCCCCGGCCGGGTCCGATGGTCAGTTCAGTTTTAACCCCGGGGGCCCGGCCGAACGGTTACCAATGACTTTGTGCCAGTTGTCACCCTACCCCCTCATCTCAAATACCCCCACCCTCCTTAAGTTTCTGCACTAAAGTTTGATGTACCCTACCACAAATATTTCATAATTCTATTTATATGTTTTATCGACCCCCTCCACAGAAGTAAATCTTTGTACCCCCCACCCCTCAATTCAATTACCCCCACCCTGTTTCTCAGCCGCCCTAAAGGATAATGGCGAGGGCGAGGGGAGGGGAGGGGGTTGGGGCGATGGGAGGGGAGAAGAGGAGGAGCGTGGGATGCAGACGATGTGAAATCAGAACGGCAACCATGTGAGGAGGGAGTGTAGTGAATGTCTCAGCGAAGGAACACGTGGAGTGAGGACAAAAGGCACGTTGCTCGAGGGCAGGGAGTGAAATAGGACGGGAGGGAAGGAGTAGAAGTCCCTCCGGACATCAGCAAAGTGTTATTGAACCTGTGGAGTACCAAAATATCAACACATGATCAAGTTCCCCGACAAGTTCACCCAGAAATGAGCTCCTAGGGAATCCAATCAAACTCCAGGGGAGCTGTAGTTAGCCATTTTTTGTGATAGAGCCCTGAAAGGATCGGGAGCAGGAGGTAGATGAGAGATGAACAAGTTTGACAACGATTAGATGCAGATGCAGCAGCGATAGAGAATAAGAAAGGAAGGAGAACTAGGAAGGAGAACTTGGAAGGAGAACTAGGAATGAACGGGAGAGGAGGGTGGGTGACGCTTGCTCAGGAGCTGAAGAGATGAAGATCCGGATACGAATGCCTGATGGGAGGACAGAGAGGGTTGAGTGCCTGGGCAGCGAGACGGTCGAGACGGTGATGCAGAAGCTGAGGGAGGCGGTGGAGGGCGCGGGGAACGGGAGTCTGCCATCGGGCTCCTTCCTATCCTTGAACAAGAAGGATGTGTTGGGGGCAGACAGGCTGCTGAGTGACTGCGGAGTGTGCGGAGGAGATCTCCTCTACTGCCTCTCAGCAGCACAGACGACCTCCTCCTCCTCCTCCTCCTCCTCCTCCTCCTCCTTGTCCTCGTCCTCCTCGCCAGCGGTGGTTAGAGGGGAGGGAGAGGCTGGACTTCGGCCTGCTCGCAACTTGTTTGGCCTTCCTACAGCAGCTCCGACGAGCAGCTCGGAGAGAATCCACGAGGACACGCGAGGGAGGAGGTGGACGGAGGAAGTTCAAGTCACCAGCCGCTCGCAGGGAAGGCCAGGGGAGGTTGCCGTCCGGTCGCAGCAGGGCACAGCAGAGGAGGAGAGGCTGAAGAGGCTGAAGGCGATCGAAATGAGGAGCAGCAGGCAGATCGAGAGAAAGAGCAGCGAAGAGATGAAGGTGGATAGTATGCAGCTGGACAGCGCGACGTCTAGGACGAGGGTGGGGGAGGTTGGGGCAGCGAGCAAGGAGGAGGAGCTTGCTCTTTGTGTGTTTGCCGTGCTGACTGCCATCGGATTCGGGGATGGAAATCTCAGAGAAGGGTCAGTCTATCTTGTTTCCCCATCTCCTTCTCCTCCTCCTCCTCCCTCGCCTCCCTTCCCCTCTCTCCCCTCCATCTGCTCTTCTCATTGCTCTCTTCCACTGTCCTCCTTGTCCCTCCCCTCCTCCTCTCCTCGCATGTTCCTCACCCTCTCAGCAGGTGGAGAGGTAAGAGTTCAACCTTCTCCTTCAGCTTCCCTGCGGAGCGAGCTGGGTTCCCCTGCGAACTCGCAGTGAAGTGCCTGAGGATGAGAGACGAGTTCATCGTACATGCTGCTGTCGGTGAGCAGCTGCGAGGAGGAGGAGAGAGGAGGAGGAGAGAGGAGAGAGGAGGAGGAGAGGAGGAGGAGAGGGGAGAAGAAGAGAGGAGGAGGAGAGAGAGAGGAGGAGAGAGGTAGTGGTGGTGGTGGAACGGAGGAAAGGTGTGAGAGGCTGGAGCGAAGCAAGGAAGAAGAAGACGAGGATGAAAACGCGGCGAGGAGAGATTGGAAGAGGAGGAGGAGGAGGAGATGGAAGGCGAAGGAGATGAAGCAAGATGAGTGGGATATGGAGAGGAACAGGGGATGGTAGCAATCCAATCTCTCCTCGCAGTAACTGGAAGGGGCAGGAGATCAAGTCAGGACCAGGACTCAGGTAACCGTTAGCGCAAGGGCGGCAGAGGTGAAGGAAATTCTCACGGATAAAATGAGAGTGGATGTACGTTTTCTCCTCCTCTTCCTTTTGCTCCTCCTTTCCTCTTTCTTATCTCTCTCTTCCTCCTCTTTCTTCTCTCTCTTCCTTCCTCCTCCTCCTCCTCCTCTTGCTCTTTTCTCCCTTCCCCCCCCCG